TGCAAAAAAAACAAAAAAAAACATATTCATCTAAGGAGAGGAGATGTTTTGTGGTGACGAGCTGCATCACGGTCTCCTGAGTCCGCTTCGGACGACCCTCCATTACACCCGGTTCAGACCTCCAGTCATTTGTTTAGGTGGCGCTGAATCAATCATAAAGAGAGTGTTCATTGCAAATGGTGCCCACCTCCTGACATTCCTTTTCAAGAGGATCTGATATGCTGGTTCTTGGTAACAAGAAGACGGCCACGGCGGTTCATTGAAGGGAACAGCAGACATGCAGTGTGGATCATTGCCTTCCAGTTTGAGGTTTCATCCGGCATTCCTTGGCATAGGCGGTTAACATTCCCTTTCTCCAAACCAGCCTATTCTCTTGTTCTGTGTTTTTCTTTTAGTATCTCTTGTGAGATGTTGACTACTCATGCTTGAAACAAAAGGGATTGGCCACCTGCGTTCTTCAGCAAAGACGGTGGCTGTCCACGAGTATGGGGTCCTTTGAAACGAGGCAGTACTATCTCAGCCATGTTCATCGTCAATAACATGCGAATGAATATCTGCATTTCTGGATGCTGCTAAAAAAGATAAGGCCTTCAAAACAGCTAGGAGTTATACCTATATAAACAGCATGACATAGCAGCCGAGTATCCTATCGATTCGCAATCCCAGACCAACACATCCAACTTTACTCAACTCGCCGCGTCTTTGCCAGGATGTTTAAGCCTCCATTCAAAGATGAATCTGTGAAGGAAACGTCCGGAGATCTGCCTAGGTTTCCAGAAGATTCCGGAGACAAGCCGTATGCCGGAGAAAAATGGAACTCTGTCGGGCAATTGGGCGTATGGGCACCACTGCCTGCGTATGAGGAAAAATATGCACTCCAGATCAAGCATCGCGAGAAAGACCGCAGGCCAATCATGATTTTATACTTCAGGAATGACGATAAGAAGAAGTACGAACCACAAAGCTTTGCCTGGCTCGAGCCACTGCACGAGAACCCTCCAGAAACAGGAAAGGACGAAATGTACAACCATGTTTACAGCAAAAGTCAATGGCGACCCCTAGAAGAAGCAGACGGGCCGTATAAGCTAGACATCTCGTGTCCCTTTGGTGGCAGGAACATCGTAATGAAAATCGAAGCGGGGTTTCTGAGGATGGCGTGGATACCGGACCCGGGCGAGGACGACCCGCCGAAATGGCACTTGCTTTTGCCAGTCGATCATCCATTCCAAGATTCGGCTTTGATGGAGTTATATGAAGGAAGTTGGCGTGTACCCTGAGATAGGTGCTGCCGGCGTCAAGGCAGCCTTTTCAGTTTATCACACTCTCTTTTCGCATAGCAATAACCAACACCAAATCGTTGACCGTGCCAGTAAACATGCTCCGAAGAATACGCTGTCGCGTGTGGGCTGACGATGCTAGTTCCCATGTCCCTTTTCTCATGCAGCCCTTACAACTGTTGAGTGTCCCCTTGTACCATGTACGGTGGTCACGTATTACTTGACATCTATCGCGCCTATAAGTAGGTAAGAGACTTTTTCAGATGTAGTAAAAGGGCCGTAGCTTTGTATCATCAATTCGGAGTCCAGTTCTACCAAACTGAGTTCATCCTAATATAGTAGCCACGATCAGAAGTAGTGCCGTGCTGCCACCAAGGAAGGATCCTTGCCAACTCACCACCTATAAGCTTTTGGGATGAGCGCTGGCTTCCGGACTCAATACTTGTGAGTGAGGTGGGAGGTAAATTAAAGGGCCTGCGGAGGGCGCGGGATCTGCTCTGCTCTTGCTCCAGATCTCACAAGTGCCGCGAGATATGTCATCCCGTCAAGAATCGCTGTAACATCGTGCCTCAGCGTTGATAAGGCTCTGTTTTCGTGTAACTTTGCGCCAACGATCTCTTTGACAGAGCAGGTCAGAGCCAGCACTCGACGAGGGCGCTGATTGTGTGCTAGACGTTTCCACCTTGACCTACTTGATTCCAGGGGGCACTCGAGATGCTGCCCTACTCGTGAGTAAGACTACGCGTTTCTAGAACCCTTCATTCTTGGTTCAGTTGTTTACACTAGCCGTATCAGATATGCGTAGGATGGGTAGTGCGACAGCATTTGGTATTGGAGGAGGAGACTCGAGGCAACAGTCTCTTGCGCGTTGCTAGTAAAACACCTCGCCCTTCATCAGCACCCGAGCTGTGCGGCGAAGATCCGCCGACACAATCTCGCCACTGTCGAACGTAGCCCCGATATCCACCTTACCGCTCGGGTGCCCAATAACGACAGACTCCTTGGCACGACCACCGATGAGCTCCGCCGGGATGGTACCGGGCAACTGACTAGCAGCTCCGAGACACAGCGCGAGTGTCAACGGCACAGCCTTGTGCGCCTGGCCCATGGAGAGCGCAAGACAGCGGATATCAACGTCATCTGCGCGTGTCTCAGAGAAGAGCAGCACGATCTTGGGCACGCTCTCCACGTCCGGGTTTAGTCCCATCATAGATGCTCCCGCACGTCGGATCCCGTCCAGCTTGGTCTTCAGCTTGGCATCCGCCTCGACGGCTTGCGGCGTGAGGTCTTCGGGTGAGGGGATACCCAGGTCGGCGGCGCGGACAAAGACGCCCGGGTTGCTGACGTCGACGAGCGAGGCCTGAATGGTGCTTGCGTCCGGGAGGAGGAGCCAGTCGCGGGGGTTCCCCGTGGGGAGGGCCTTGCCCGTCTTTGCACCGGCCGGGTCTAGGAAGCTGAGGGTGATGGGGGAGGCGGTGCCGGGGACGCCGTCCATGATGTAGGCACCTTCTGGGGCGTACTTTGGTGAGTTGGACCCGTGAATGACGACCCTGAAGTGTGATGAGATGACTTTTGATGTATTGGTGTTAAAGATGCGCACGGTAGCGAACGTCTGGCCGTCGGCCCCTTGTTCAAGACGCGGGTTCGAAATGAGACCTTCGTCTAGGCTCATAGGCCCGACTGTCGAGGAAAGGTTTCCGCAGTTGCCTGCTGTGTCAAGGCTGCCGTCCTTGATGCCGACTTGGACAAAAGTATAGTCTACATCAACATCGGGGCGTGAGGGTGGAGACAGCACGACGATTTTGGACGTTGATGAGATGCCTGAGCCCATTCCGTTAAGCTGGCGGCCGTAATGGTCTGGCGAGCCCATGGCCGCAGGTAGAACCTGATGCCATTCGTTTTCTGGCGGGAGGTTGTGTCTATGGATGACGAGACCGTTAGACGTTCCGCCGCGGACGAAGAGCGCGGGAAATGACCGTGATGACGAATAGGGGCGCGTCGATGACATGTTTGCGGAGAGTCTAGATAACCCGGAAGCAGCGCTCTTTGTGTTCCTCAAGAGACTGCGGTGAATTTCTTGTAGCACCATCATTGCCAATGATTGCGATAATTAAAACAATTGTTGTTGTAGTTGATGGTGAAGTTTATTGAGACGGACAGTCCTCTGCGGTTGCTTTCCGCATGATTTCTTACCCACCACGCGGGAAATGTCCGTACCTGGGCCACTTCAAGCCACACGCGGCGCGGCGTCCGTCTACAGGGGTCGTGGACCACTAAAAGCCGTTAAGCACCGCCAAGCCGGAAGCACACGAGGAGGATCCCTGCAGTGATCCTCTCCAGAGTCTCACATCTCTTCTCTGCATTCTGAGTACCTCACCATATTGTGACTTGGTGAAGTACTCTATGTCGTTTGGCATATGGTCGAGTCTCATACAAAGGAAAAAAAGAGAAAAAAGAAGAGAAACTGAGAGATTTCTGCACCAAGTCCAGACCTCAATTCCCCGACGACTGATTGATCGGCGGAGTGATGACCGAATCGGCACCGAAATTACACAAGTCCAAGCCACCCGGGCTTGAGGCTTGTAAGACCGTCTGAAGTCAGGCATCGCGTCCGCTAAGCTGGAGATAAGCATGGACATACCGTAATAAGCGTTTCGGGTTGCAGAAACAAGCTTGATCATGGTTCTGAAGAACGGTCGATATATGGGATTCATATTTCCCCTCTCCCGTCTCATCTCATCTGACCTCGTCGTTACAGCCACGTTTTCGTACAACAACACAAGAAGCTATCAGTCAATTGTACAAATTCTTATATTGCAAACCACATGATTCTCATACCCGTCAAAATGAATCCGTACGTTGAAGTGACCCTGAGTTGGCTCCTCAAGAACTCCCGCGCTCACGACGCCAAATCTTTCTATACATCCCCTGCCTTCGCATCTCATTCGGAGCAGACCATCACCGTCACGTCGCCAGACTGCGGCGCGTCTCCCGCTACCTTGGGCCCTGAGTACATCACAGAAGGTGGCGGCCGTATCCCCGCGTTGTCTTGGTCCGCACCGCTGGACCTCGAGTCCAAGGTGAAGGAGTGGCTCATCGTGGTCGAGGATCCTGATGCGCCCCTGCCGACGCCCATCTGCCACGGGTCAGTGACCCATTTTTCAAAGAGAAGCATATGCTGACTTGTTGGTTGTAGTGTGTATGGTGGCATCGCTCCTGAGAAGAAACAGGTGAACCCGAAAGACTTTGAGATCGAGGATGAGAGCAAATCTCTACTAAAAGGCGGGTTTCATTGGGGCAAGGGGCGGAGAGAGGGCGTGTATGTTCCCCCGCGGCCTCTTATGAACCACGGTACCCACAGATGTGAGTCTTGATTCCTCTTGCATTCAAATAGAACCGCAAGATTGACTTGTCGACAGATTTCTTCCAAGTTGTGGCCCTGAGCGAGCCCCTGGATAAGACGATGCTGGAGGCCCGGGCTACCAGGGAACTAGTCGCTGAAGCGATCCAGGGCAAGGTTCTGGGTTGGGGTATGTGGATTGGTAGCTGTGAGCGGAAGTGGACGTGATGTCGAGGATGAGGAATTCCAACATTCAGCGCCGTTGCCACAAGGATGATGACAAGTATTGTGAGATGTTGACAGATACTTTGATGAGAATATGAAAATCGTAACGCTTGAAAAGATTGCCCATGACATCAGATGGTGTTAATGAGACATAACCTTCAACTGTCTTTATCGAGACGACGGTAAATCGCGTCCAAATGTTGTAAAATCAGGAGCGCAGAATGATCGGGCTCCAGGCTCGTGACGTCCAAACACATCTCGTTTTCATCTCCAAACTGAAAGATGGCTTCCTTTTCCCGGATCTTTTTCAGAGTCTCACCGTCAGTCAACTTGGTGTTACCAGCCGCCTCATCAGCCCCGGCAAATCTCCGGCCTCCAAGTCTCCTGACATTCTCATCCACGTCGCAATGCAACACGACCGAGATAAACAGCACGTCCCTTTTCTCAGCAGCCGCCTTATAATCTTGCGCCGCTTCGCTGCCGAGAGGACCCGACTCCCGCGCGTCTGTGAAGATGAAGGTCTTGTCCGCAAGCGCAGGATGTGTGGCGATGGTGTCGAGAGCATGCCTGCGAAACGTGGTTCTCAGATCGTTGTACGCCTCAACGTCGTCTCGGTCGAGCAATGCGGCAACGGGGTCAATTAGCAGGTGGTTGTGGAAGACGCGGCTGCGCGGGATGAGTTTGGAGACAGCGTTGGCGATGGTGAGTTTGCCCACACCCGGGTAGCCGTTAATGTAGATGAAGCAGGCCATTGGATTGTGCATAGTTTCCACAACACGCAAATGTTCTCGGCAGGGATTTTACCAGAATGATGATCAAAGTGATTATCAACTTCATTTTATCGAGGAAACTCAAAGCTTTCTCCGACTACCAGGCTAACTTCAGTGGCAGCTGCGTCTTGCTTCAGTGACTCACCAATTGAGGCCAAGGTTCATACCTCCGTGGCGCACCTTAAGGTGTGTTGACTCAATAGATCAGTTGGTGAATGGCCCTTCTTCATACTTCTTTGGCCTTGCCTACATAGTCAATGGACATCGGCATGCATCAGCCTAAAGTATATGTTCGAATGTGGCGTCTAGGTACGAGTGTATTGAGTAAGTCGTGTGCTACACGACAAGCATCTGACTCGCCGCCTTGATCGTAAACACCATAAACTTCTGGCGATGACTCAAATAACGGATCGAAAGGAAGGCACTGGCTTCGATGTTGGCCTGATTGCAAATTAAAAGTGCTCACCTTGAGATAGAAGGAGGTACGGACATTGTCCGCGATAAGACCGCCGTTGAATCCTTCAGAAATGTACTTGGTAAGCGCACGTGATCGTCTCCTCTTTCTCTGGTTGCGGTCGCGCCGTCTGCTGTCCAGCATTTCTCATCACCTCACCTTTCTTTTGCATTGCCGAAACCGCGCCGAGTTTCCCTTTCTCTCCTCTCCACCTCTGCCATCAACAACTCACACGACCACAGCAGCTGCCAGCAAGTGAGCCAGACAATCAAAGCGAGCACCCACAACTGCGCTAGAATCGGCTCATTTAAACATACAAAGAGGCGTTTAAACCTGGACAAGGAGGCAGAGCGCACGCACGCACGCGCGCACCCTACCCTTAACTTGATGGACCCGCCGCTCAAGAGCCCCGCGTCGGCACAGAGGGATACCTCGCCCAGCCCTCCAGTGCCGAACCGGATCCGGCGCAATACAGCCTGCACGAGCTGTCGCGACTCCAAGGTGGGCGTTCACTTTTCCTCCGATACTCCCTTTTTGTATCCGTACATGCCTTTTATACATACCCCGGACCAGTTCATCTTGTATCTGTCCCTCGTACCCCTTGCATGGCTACCTTATCTCGTGGTGTTTTAATCTTTTAAACATTCTGCTGCCACATATGTCACGCATGCCCCGTGCCCCTCCAACGCCTCTCCCGGTTCCTATTCCCATTGGATCGCGGTTGGCATCCGGGACTCGGGAAGGACGGATGGGGGGCCACCTCGTCAGGTCCCCTGGGGCTCATCATGCAATGTCAGCAAACATGCCGAAGAATATTCCTGTTCCTTCGGTGTTTCTGCATGTTCAGGAATCCGTCGCACGGCTATACCGAATATGACGTCCCGTATGCTAACTGAATGTCTTTGGACGACTGGAAATAGGTCAAGTGCAATGCGAGCTACACGCCCAATAAGCCGTGTCAACGTTGCTCTAAGCTCGGTATACAATGTGTCATTGACAAGTCTCACAAGCGGATGACCAGACGAAGGTGGCTTCCCTTTTCTTCTCTTCTCCTTTCCTCCCTGCTCCCAAACGCGCCCTGCCTGTCTTTCAATTCCTGGTGCCCCAATATTATTGTGTGTGTGTGTGTGTGTGTGTGTGTGTGTCCGTCTAGAAAAAGATCACGGTCTAATGTCTCCGCGCATGTGTGAACGTCAAACAGCAAACTAGAACAACTCGAAAAGGAAGTCCAAACTATCAAGAATGCCGTCAACCCGAGCCCCGTCTCCGCCACTGGCATCCTCCCTCCTGCCGCCTTGCCGCTGCCGCTGCCGAGCCCGAGCACTGCCTACCCCGGAGCCGCCAGTGCCTTTTCGGACCACCGGCCGCCCCCATCCGCATCAAGGGTGAGCCTGCCGGCCTTGTCTCCCGTTCAGCAAGCCCGCCAGCCGGAGCAGGTTCCAACACCGACCCTCACATCGCATACGACACCTACGGGTCCCGCGAGGCAGCCCGCCCAGCCAAGGGCTTTGGGGTCCAAGGTACTGTCTGGGGAGGATATCGACTTTTACTTTGACCAGTGAGCTACCTCAACCCTTCTTCCTATATCATCCCCAAGCCAGGGTGTATCCGTATCAGAGAAACAGAGACTGAGACGTCATGACAAAAGCTACTTTGAGCACTTCCACCCTTACTTCCCCATCGTCCGCTCCCAGGACCCAGACAGGCTCTACAAACAGAGCCCCATTCTCTTCTGGACCCTTATCGCCATCTCCTCGCGGCGGTACACTCGCGACGCCGGCCTCTTCCCTTTCCTCATCGAGAACCTTCCCCGCGAGGTTTGGGCGGCTGTTTCGAACCCGCCCATCAGCATGTCCACCGTTGACGCACTGCTCGTCCTCTGCACATGGCCCTTACCCTCCATCCGCTTCCTCAACGACCCATCGTCCTCGTACGTCGCCATCGCGCAGAACGCTGCGCTGCTGCTGGGCTTGCATACGGGCCGTGGCACACATCCCGAGTTTTGTATAGGGCCGAACCGGCAGACTGACATCACCGACGAGGAGGCGTGCTTTACCTGGATGGGATATAACATCCAGGCTCAGAGGTAACATTTACCTTGAATCCCACCACTTTCTTGACGTTCAGACTGACTGGTGAAACAGAGTCGCCTCAAGTAACGGTTTCCCGCCCCCGGCCGGCTTCTTCAATGAAGCCGTCAACAGGGCCGCTGGCGGACGATCACTCCCTGATGCCCTGGGGTACTTTGGTCTGCTGTATGAGATGCAGAAGTTCTCCAACAGGTTGAGTCGGACCGTCTTTTCCGTCGCCGAAGAAGGCGAGGGCGTGCCGGACACCGTCATTCAGCTGCTAGAAGACGAGCTGAACAAGCTCAAGCAGCTACAAGCTCGACACAACTCTGGTTCGTAGAAATGATTCTTCTTTCCAAAATGGGAACCTCCCTTTACTGATTAATACAGACCTCGACCTCTTCACCATCCTAGCCGTCCAATTCGAGCTCCAATCCTACTACTTCATCCCCCTCTCCACCGTAGACAAACCCACCTTCCGCCACAACGTAAATCGCGCCTACAGCACAGCCCAAGCCCTCATCAACCTCTCCTTACGCCTCGAGTCCTCGCACCGCTTCCTCCTACACGCCCCGCAACACGTCTTCCGCACCATCCTCGACGCCGCCGCCGTGATATTCGACGTCCTCGTCTCGGGCCACGCCACGGATGTCGAGCTCGCCAACGCCGACGTCTCGGTCAAGAACGCGCAGGAGGCCCTGCGGCGGTGTTCCGTGCAGGAAGGCGATTTCGCAATGCGCGTGCTGCGCATGTCGGAGAGTTATTGGAGTCTAAGGCACATGATGCCCAAGCTCGAGGCGCCCATCTCGCAGTATCCGCACCGCACGGGTGCCGTCATCGCGTTTGGGACGCTGAGGCGGTGGAAGAAGGAGCTTGATCAGGCGAGGGTCGGGCAGGGCGGTTCTGGTGTTGGGGTTGGTGGTGCCGGTGGTGTTGCTGGAGGAGGCGGTGTTGGACAAGGGACTGGGGCGGGCGGCACGGCGTCGACGCGTGAGTGTAGGGGCGGTCGAGGGTTCGGTGGGAGTGTTGCTGACCTTGTGGTAGCGGCGGCGACGGATGCGAACGCGAGCCTTGTGCCGACGAGTGACCCGCTGCAGGATATCGACTGGTCGATGCTCATGGACGACTTTGACTGGACGGCTGGGGGTGGAGGAGAGCCGAATTTCCTTGGTCTTTCATAGTAGGTGTTGTGTGTCTGTGAGAAATGCGGCTAACGTGCGCATGTGTGTTCTGTCGATGCTTTTTACCATTTCTTTTCTCTTTCTTTTGCTGCAAGCAAGCCGGAGCATTTTGGTGGCTGGATATTTTTGCATCATTTATGGACGTACGTTGGTGGACCGGGGGACTAGATCACTTGAGAAGGGGTGCTGAAGATGGATGTTCTCGTTGTCGTACAAAAGAACAGACTGAGCAATAATTAATGTTACATTTTAAGCTGCACATCTTTTGAAGCTACAGTGCTGTAGAAGCCCGACTCTTGTCATCTCACTCTATCCTCCCAGTGCTCCAAATATTCAGCCCGACTTTGACGCCCTTTTTGACCGGCAATCCGGCGTGCCACGTCTCGTCATACCCGGCACCGCTCCCATCAGCCCTGAAGTTCTCCCAGTACACCGCGTTGCCCGGAACAGGCTTGAAGGTAGTCCCCTTTACCTCCTCCTCACCTCCCATCTTCTTCTCCTCACCACCATTCCTCCCAACACACCCCACAAACCGACACCAAGCCTCCTTCTTCAACCCCGGAACCTCCAACAATGGAAATTCCGTCCCGCCACCAACCAACCCATCCCCGTTCCCCGTCCCCGGCGGTACCTCGTTCTCATCCTCGCCGCGCGCGTCAACCCAAGCCATCATACTGCTCACCCGGCCCCACCCGCCGCGGTTGGCGGTCCAGTCGAAGTGATACGAGTAATGCCCGCCCTCGACGTACCGCTGCGTCCGCAGCCTCTCGATCCAGAGGTCCTCGCGCCAGCCCTGGAGGGCGCGGGCGCGGGCCTCGATGCAGCGAACCGTGTCGTCGCGCGGGAGGAGGGCGACGTCGGAGGAGCGAATGGAGGTGTCGCGGTGGGTGTTTGCGCCGTTGTGGGTTATTGTTGAGGGTTCGAAGATGGGGTTGCTGGTAGAGATGTGAGTAGGTGAGTGAGATGAATTTGAGATGAGTTGGGGGTAAGTTGGGGTGAGGTGAGGTGAAGTGAGATATGGGTGAGATTGAGTGCTGGGTAGGTGAGATGCTTCTGAGAGAGCATGGATTGATTCATCTTTCTCTCGTCCGCAGTCGTAACCAAAAGTCTGGATGCGTGTGTGACGTGACAAGAAGTAAGGTAAAATATGTATATGCAAGAAAGGGAAAAGCCCATAGAGCTGAAAAAAATACATACCTAATCTCAAGCAAATGCTTCCTTTCTTCCACACTCAAAAACCCTTCAATGTACAACACCAACGGCTCCTTGGAAAAGATGCGCACAGAGTAATCGTCGGGCGGGCACGACAGGGCCGTGGCGTTGGGGTGTTCAATGGCGAGGAGGGACTCGTTCATCTGCGGCCGGGGCGAGCGGGCCACCCGGTTCCGGCTTGTGCTACTCCGGCCACTGCCGGATGTTGACGACGGGGAGAAGAAGTCGACGAGGGGGTCGGAGAAGAAGATGAGGAATGCCACGAGGGCGATGACGTAGGAGATCATTGTTGGGGAGGGGTGAGATGCATCGGTGGCTTTGGGGAACTCAATTGGCAAACAAATGGGCGCGGCTTTCTCGAAGGTGAGGAGAAAGAAAAGTGAACAACTGAGAAATGTCGTTGGGATAATCAGGCGATATCCATGTTGGAGGCTTCCGCGTCGCCCGCGTTCTGAGGTGTTGGTTGTCAAGGGGGGCTCCGCCACAGCCGGGCCGTGCAAATCCGCGACACACTGTAGGGAGTTGGCAATATGCGAGATGATCATGATTTCATCTTCGACAGTCAACTACCTCTCGTAAGATTACTTAATCATATCCAATTACTATAATGAACCAAAAAGAGTTCACCCCCCCGGTGACGATTGGGGGCTACATCTCTTGGTGCACATGCTGGGATTCGAACTCGGGTACTCGCTAAGCCTGTCGTCGAGTAGGCTGGTTGGCGTATAAATTGAATGTTGACCATGAACCACTCCACCACCCAGCCAGTTTGACCTGACCCCCGACCTAGAGGGCGCCTGCTGGCTGGTGACAGGAATGGAATTGACGAGGTCTATACACCCTTCACGGTCAGGCGGTAAGGCACGGTAAGATAGTGGTATATTCCAGGTGTGTGTGTGTGTGTGTGTGTATTCTACTGCTTCTTCTTCTCGCCAACATCCGCCCCGCCCTGCCTTCCGTACCCCGTCTTGGAGTACGCCGCCACGAGCTTCCACAGGACCCACGCGAACCCAACAATCACCGCAGCCGCCGTCCCGGCGCGAACCCACTCTGCCTGCCCGGCCTCGAGAACCGGCACGCGTACGGTGCTCGTGAGCCGACCCCCGTCTCCTCCGACAACGGGTCGCGGCTCAACGTGCCAAAACACCGTCCTCGGTCCGAATAACGCGTCATATCCGAGATTCACCCTCTCAAATGGACTACTAGGGAACTTTGTACCCTCTTCGGACGAGCACGCCCAGAAGACGGCCGGGTAGGGCACCTCTACCTCGGTGTACCCGCCCGCCGCGGGTTCGAGGTATCGGAGGTGCAGCGGGATCTCCGCCGTCCAGTCCTGACTCTTCTTCCCCTCTTCCGTCGTCGTCGGCGGCGCGAGCTCGAGAAGGACACCGGAGCCCCACGGCTTCGTAGCGTACGCAGGCGCCTCGAGGTCGACAGGCGCGCTGGCGTAGCGTAAGGCAGTCAAGTTCTTAGACTTGAGGAACAGATCGTCCGCAAGCTGGTAGCGGTCCGCAAAGATAGTCTTTGGCAGCGTGAGGTGCGCGTGGACAGCGCAGTAGGCATCCTCCACCGGCGGCTCCGCCGAGTCGAAGCGCAGCTGCAGCGACGGGTGCAGCCCGGTCGGCTCGAGGAACGTTGCAGAGAAGGAGCTCGTGCGTTGCGATGCCTCATCTCCCGAGTCCGAGTGCAGCCGGTGGCGGGCGGGCACGTTGAAGAGGACGGGCGCGGGCTTCTTGTGCTCGCCGAGGACGGTGAGGCCGCCCGCCATGCCGATCTCGTGCGGCTCCGGCTTGGCGGTGGAGTCGGTTGTGAGGATGCCGACCTCGGTCCTGTGGTTCGGGGTCGAGTCGACGGCGACGCGGTGTTTGCCGTAGGGCCATTGTGCCGTCAGCTTGAGGGCGTGCGAGATTGTGTCGTAGGAGATGTCAAAGGATGCCGCCGTCTTGAGGTCCTCGGCGCGGGACTTGCATTTCGTGTCTGATGCTGGGCAGAGCTTCTCGGCTGTGTACTGGCTGAAGGCGGCGAGGCTCTCTAGGGGCTCGTAGTATTGGAGTGCTGCGGAGTGAGAGAACCTATCGTTGGGGAGGGTTGTGAATGACTTTGTTTGACAGAATTAGTCTTGATGGTCTTGTCTGGTTGGGTCTGAAGGCGGGATAGTTGCGTGTATGTATAGCTTACCTCTGACGATGTACAACTGCTCCCACCAAAGGCGTCCTTGAGAGCCGCGCATAATCTTGTTCTTCATCTCATGTTAGCTTTTCTTATTTAGCCCGGACAATACCCACTAATTGAGACTCACGCGTCCCATTTGATCTCCGCCTTCTTTGGCGTATAAAAGAGATGGAAACCTGGTGATACCCTCGAAGCCAATGGGCCAATAGTGTCATAGGCGAACGGGCTGACCCATCTGATGTGTAGCTCATGACTCTGACTCAGAAGCTGGGAAAGCTCAGAGGGAAGCTCCTCAAGGGCCAAGGTTATTCTATCTTCCCGGACAGATAAGAGCTCGGGACCCTTTACGCCGGCATCGCTGATCTCGAGAGACTCCGGAGGCGCGCCGTCACTTGGCTTATGAATGAAGGTGATTCGCTGACGCATATTGGACGATGGCCTAAGCAATACAGCTGCAGACCCGGGTAACTAAGTTCCGGTTCAATGTAAATGCTCTGGATATTACTAGAAGATGAGTGAATGAGTTGGACGCAAGGTGGTAAGGTCGATGAAAGTGGATTCTTCGGTGACGTGAACGGGTTGGTGTGATCAGAGTGTGAACAGTGTGCTCGGATGGGTCCGTTGGCATCGATGTCGGAGCTGGAGACCCGTCGCTGAGGACACTTCGTTCGGTGCCGAATCCAGGAACGTCTACTGACTCCACTCAAGCTTCTGGTTTACTGTTTGGAACACTAGCCACACTCAGCCACCCAATACCAAGAACGTACAGGCTTAGGTAAGTAGACACGTGTGGGGGCCAAAATGGACCCATAATTTCACGGGTCCAGTCCGCCCTGCCACATTCGGTCACCGGCTCATCAGCCACGCTAAGCCGTTTTGGCTACCGAAGCTGGCGCGGAGTGGGATGCCCCTCCAGCCCGTCCGCCTTCCGTCGACCGAGACGAACGGGGCCTTGTCGAAAGGCACCGCCGACGACATCTTTTCTCTCATTTTTCCCTCTCTCGCAACCCAGAGGCTGCTTTTTGCTATACCTGACGATGCATCAGACGCCACCACGATTTCTACAGACCATTTGGCTTCCACGGCCCTCCTAGCACATCTGGTTTTTTCCGTGTCACTATTTACACCTCATGAATACTTAGATTGTGGTAAAAAAGATATCCGGCGCCGTGCCTCACTCTTTGGCCACGAAAGCGCGCATAACTTCTACCTGAACACCCACGTATCGGCTCATAGATTGGCCAAGGCTTGCTCCGAAAGCCAGTGAACATGGGCGATCACCAGCCGTACGTGACCATTCGGTCTCGGCGGCCTCATGACGGGAACAGCGTGAGCAGTGCAGACTCAACTGTAGGTGCCAGGATCTCGGCGATCCAGTCGCGCAGAGTACGTGTAGACTCACAAGCCGGTCATGACCAGTACGGTTCCAGCTCTGGCGATGCGCCTCGGCCCGCCACACATGATATCAGCCGCGTGAGCTACCACATCAAGCACCTTGACAGCTTCGCTCAGACTCTAGAGAATGTAAGTCGAAAGATGATGTAGTGATGCTAGGTTATGTGACAGAAGACACATGCTGACGCTTCATCCACAAAGTCTGCAAATCGAGCATTTCCGAATCGCGGGAAATCATCACAGCGGTATTCAAAAGTGCAGGCCTTGCTCCTCCACTGGGGCTGTGACGATCTCTTTGTGTTACCTGAGCTGGAGGACTTGGAACGGTGCCTCCGCGAGGATTATGCCTTTGACACGGAAATTTTTCCTATACCGTCTGAGAATTCACATTTAGAGCTCATGATGCAGGTCGGCAAGCTGATCAAAGACCACGAGGCTCAAGACACGCTCTTTTTAGTCTACTATGGTGGCCATGCCAGGATAGACGAGTCTCGTCAGAGCACTTGGTGCGCGTAAGTCTACAGCATCGTCTCGAATTTATCACGCACAATCTCACGAAACCACTAGCACGCGACATCCCGACTCGCCATGGCTGCAATGGTCCGCAATCCAGACCCTGCTAGAGCGCTCGGCGTCCGACGTTCTCATCCTCCTCGACTGCTGCGCGGGAGCAGCAAGTGCAACGTTCCCCAACGGCAACAGTATCACCGAGACCATCTCCGCCTCGAGCTGGGACGCCATCGCCCCGGACCCGGGTCGCTACTCCTTCACAAACGCCCTCATCGAGGTGATGCAGGAGTGGAGACTCCGTACCTTTTCCGCGGCCATGCTGCACGCCGAGGTCCTCGCCCGCCTGAAGCACCCGCGCCCCGTCACCATCAACGGCAAAGTATTTGAGGCCAGGTCGACGCCGGTTCACTTCATGATGACGTCGAACCATAAGGCGCCGAGCATCGAGTTGTCCCGGGTCGTGTCGGCTGAACAGCGGCCGCCGTCGCCGTCGCTGGATGTCGCGGTGAATGCAGATGGTAGCGGATCGCCCGAGGGGATGACGGGTGGGCGAGGGCCTGGCGCACCAGTGGCAGGGGAACCGAACGAGGATACGCCGCATGTCATGATCTCGCTGGCACTGGAAGACAATCAGCAACTAGACCTCAGCGCCTGGGAGCAGTGGTTATCCAATTTCCCCGCCCTGGCAAAGTATGTCAAAGTCCAGGGGGTGTTCAAGAGTCATTCCACATTGCTCCTCTTATCTATGCCAGTGATGGTATGGGATCTCCTGCCGGAGGATCATGCGACCTCATTCATAGCCTTCATTCGTTCAAATAACCTAGTGACAGAGAGGAGTCGCAAAGACGATGACGCTAGTGCGAATATTTCGGTGAGCCGAGACGCTCGTGTAGTGCAAGACAACACACAACCGGACTCTGCCTCAATGGGCACCTTTTTCTCAGATGTCACATACACGAACGCTCCAACGATAACAGGCAGCGTCATGGGGACACAAGTGGGAGGCAGCGGGCCAAACGTGAGAATACACGAAGGAGGGATCCAGGAGTCAGAGACCGAATCACCATCATCATCGCCAGTCGTCAGATCATCGCGGCCACTTCAGTCGCTAAACCCAACAACGTCCATTGGAACCCTACAACGGCACAACACCTCATCTTCTCAAGTATCATTGGAGGGCACGCCGATATCCAGATCAATGATCCCGAAC